ACCTAGACGGATCCATGACATCCGTACAAAAAGCAAAAGAATAGAATAATGTGATAAAACCCTTATGGTGTTATTACATTGTCCTGACAATTAGGATTTTTTTTTAAATTAAATTAGATTGACTACATTTTGAGAATGAGTTTAAATTATACTTCAAATTTTTTTAACCCAATGATATGTCATTTATTTTTTTAAAAAAATTATATTTTTTAAACAATTATATCTTAGTATTAAAAGACTTTAAGATTTAGTAGATAATATTTTATCATAATGATATCATATTTATATTGATAACATTTGTTTTGAAATATATAGCGTAAAATATACGTTAATTTTAATTTATCCATCATTAATCCTAAGATTTAACTATGGTGTTAATACAGATGCATTCTGTTTATTTATTAAAATTTTGTATTGAATAGGGATAAAGATAAATTTGTCGTAATCTGTCCCATGTATAACTACATGAGAGTAACAAGATTTACTTGTGAAGGTGAAGCATGACTATCGTGTTGTATGGCACAAGTCTTCGCAAACTTCAAGTGATAGGATATATTTATCGTACCATAAGGATGTTAACATCGTGCACAAAATTGGTCAAGGTGGCGAAAATAAAAATGTTTTGCAACGCTTTGGCAGTTGCAAAGTAACAAGTGAAGGATACTTGAATAATTCTCTTTAGAGGAATTGTCACGTTTGAAGAGCTTTTCTTCTTCAGTGGATTTCTCTACCTAGAAGTCTCTTTTCATATGTGGTTATCATTATTATTACTATCATAATTTATTATGTATCAAAATGGTTTATTCCATTTGATTTGGACTAGTCTAGTTTGTGCTTCAAGCGAACCTGTTTTTTATTCGGATGATAAAGTAGCAAATCAAACTCAGCGTACTATTGCATTTTATAGTTAAATAAGTTAGGTCGGTTTGAACTCGATTGATGAAAAATCTAAATATTAGAATATGATGATCGAAGATTGGAATATTACTTGCATAAAATAGTATTGAAAAATTCATTTGGCCTTTCAAAGACAGCTTTGACGATAGTAATTGATTTTTTGACATTTGTTTTTACAGAGAAGATATGCATTCTATCAAGATGATATTTCTCAGTTATTCATTTATTTCAATGAAATTTATTTAACCAACTTTCCTCAAGATATTTATATTAGAATATGAAATGACTGATGACACTTCGTTTCTATTTATTGTAATGAATAGGGCTTACGAAGAGCATCTGATAAAAGCAAATCAATGGAACAATTTTGAAGCTTATGAATGATTTAATGGTGAGGATTTAGATGACTCTTTCTGGGAATTATTCAGCTCCAAATGTTATATTTGTACTTCGAATTCAGTGATAAAAATTCTATTTAAGTTGATAAAGTGATTGAGAAAATAGTGAAAATTACACTTCTAACATGGAAGATAGACCGATTACAACATTTGATAATTGAAATAGTTGGAATCCAATGAGGCAATTCTAACTGTAGCTAGAAGTATCTTCCTTACGATGAAGACAGGATAAATTTGATTGCTTCAAATTGAAGGGTATCAAAGAACATTTGTTTCTTTAAATCCATAGGCTTTATTTTAAAGGTTTTTCTAATGTGTACCCAAAGATACAATAAAAACCTCTGTATAGTATTTTTATTATTCAAAATAATAAGATTTCAACGCATTAATAATATTAAATGCTACAATTTTTAATTAAATTTTAGTAATTTTTTTTATTTCTTAACTTGTGTCCTTAGACACAACTGTTATTTTAATCATTTGTTTAATTAGCAACAAATTCCTAAAACTAGTAACAGTTATGCTTATAGCTTCGTAATCACAATCTAGAATACAAAAGCATCCTTATTCCACACTGAAGTAAATGAAATCACAAGTGATATAATCTAACCAAATTCAGGAACGAATTGAATAAGAAAAACTAATGAAAAGGAATGCGTACTTGAATACATGGAATTGAAAGCGTCAAAGTGAAAATTGAACCGATGAAATGAGGATTCAGGAGACCTTGGCGTTGTTGAAGAAAGCCGTAACACAAAGAATGAAAGCAATGAAAGCAATAAAGGCCAAAGCAATGATGAAGGAAATCCCAGCAATGAGGAAATCCAAGATGCCCAATCCCACCTCTACCATCATCGCCCTTCTTGCTAGCTCAAATCAGAGAGGGAGAAGAACGTGGAAGGAAATATACTCCACCTAACCATCCTCTTTATCATTTGCTTAAACACAGGTGGTAATGGATCAACCTCTTCATCTATGATTATGCCAGGAGGGTTACCATTTTTGTCCTGTAAGACTTTACAAAAATAAATAAGAACATCAAACAAGAATGACAGAGGGAGTAAATTGTCATACCATTGCATAATTGTAAAAGCGACCAAATTGAATTGTCACTCGTCCTTCACCGTGCATCCACTTTCTCGGTTCTGAATATATTCAATCTGTAAACAAGAAAAGCCAGTAGATGTATAGAATCTGATTTTCATAAAACAAATAGAAGAGAGACACAATGGTCATTGATTTAACAGGTTTCTTCATTGAATTATGTACAGATAAACTAACAAAATGGTTCACTTTTATTCCATATTCATCACATGTAATGTAGTATAGGACCCCAAACATTTCTACTCTTGTAGAGAGAAATTATTTCGCTGAATGTACCAGTGGTTAGAGTAGACTTCAAGATATGCTAAATGATAGTATCTACTCCCAAAAGTAATGAGAAACAATCATTGCCATACTCTTGGGCAGAACATGCTCAAAGAGAGTGTAATGTGTTAAGGTTATGGAATATAGACCATACGGATTCTGAACCAATCAATTTGCAACTATGGTAAAATCACAACGGGGAAAAATTGGCTTTTGTAATACCTACCTACCTACCCAAGTCAAATTTGTTGGCAATGATTAATATGCAAGATATCAAAGTCCAAGAAGACTTCTTTTTGTCATGTCAAATTAATTAATCTAGAGCTCACTCCCATGTTTTCTCATTATTATTTGGCCACTTCCAAGTCTCACCATTATTTCCGGGCCATGATAGTCCCCTAAAGCTACCAAGCCAAAACAATACGTATTTGACATTACAGTCAAACAGAACAACAGTTGCAAACACGGGAAATAACAAAGCATGTAGCAATATATGCTAACTTAACATTGCAAAGTTGTGATTAAAATGACTGAAAAAGAACCATGAGAAAATGACTCAAAGGAACCCGCATGGTTCAGGCTTTTTATCAAACACTTTAGAAACATGTAATTGGTTCTCCAACTTTCACAGACACACCATAATTGTTATGATCATAATTTCCCAAGAAACATGTCAGATATAATTAATGGAAACAAGACAGGATTCAAAACTTCAAATTGAAAGGCGTTAATTATATAACTGTTTTAGGGTTAAAATGGACATAAAAGTTCCCCAACATAATCTCTACACTTCAACCCAAACAGAATATTCCTAATCTCAGTGGTTCAACATAGACGAATCAAAACAAAGCAATGAAAAGGAATAGCGTAGTTGAATACACTGAATTGAGGATTCAGGAGACAAGCTTGGCGTTGTTGTAGAAAGCCGCAACGCAAAGAATGGAAGCAATGAAAGCGATGAAGGCCAAAGCAATGATGAAGGAAACAAAAGCCACGAGGAAATCCAAGAAGCCCAAACCCACCGTTATCATCATCGCCATATTCTTGTTCAGCTCAAATCAGAGATCAGAAAAGGAGAAGAAACGTTGAATGTGTCTCCAACCAATGCTTGTAGAATCGAAACAGAGCAAACGCCATAACCAATAACTTATCAAGGTTTATTTATGGAGTCTTAATTATTTGTCGCTCCCTTGTTGTCTGAACGTGAATTCGTTCACGTGTGAAAATTTACAGACAGTGGAAAAACTATTCTATAATTTTTAAGATAAAATTTATTCTTTTAATTATTTAAAACAAATGTTATAAAATAAAATTCACAAACTAATATTGAATTTAATATCTGATTTCATTTTTTAACTTTATATTTCTTTTTGGTTTGTTGGCATAAAAAAAATTATTAAACCACGTGGTATCTAAACTATTAAAAAGTTTAACAAATAAATTATTAGAACATTGTTTTAATATAATTTTAAGATTTGAACGCAGACGATTATAAATTTAAGCCTTTTCAATTTAATTTAAATACACAAATAGAATAAAAAAAATTATATTGTTATTTAATTTTTGATTGTTATATCAGTAAAAATTATTTATTTTTGTAATAATTAATATAAAAATTATATATATGATGTATTCTAATTAATTGGTAGTGTACAAATTTTTACCCTCAAATTAAACATTTTGTGATTCCATATAATTATTTATAATGTTTATTAACCAATGATTTTTAAAAGAAATAAAAGAATACTTATATTTATAATAGTTAATTAATTCGGGTAGAATTTATCTTATATTTAATGTTAAAATATGAATTTGTTTTTTTTTTGTCACGCAAATTTAGTTTCATATTTATAGGTTTTCTTTTAAAAAAAAATTAGCCTCATACGTGCAAAAAAAATTAGAATAGTGATTGAGATTTGAATCCGTCATAATGTTGTCTTTATTTTTTTACATAGCAGTTATATTTTTTAGTCAAACTATATCCATCTCTAAATATGTCATGTATTTTTCATTAGGTTCCTATATATAATTTCTTTCCAATTTAATCCCTAATCGTAAGAAAAAATTTAGAATAATCTATGATTTTTTTTTTAATAAAGATTAAATTAAAAATTATTATATATGTAAAAACCAAATTAAGTTTGCAAACTCATAAAACTATTTTAAAATTTCATGACAATGTTATAATGATGAGTTATACGAGACATTAACGTCAAGACATTAATCTATAATTTTGGATTCATGTTTTATACTGTGTATCCCTTTGTATAAAATTGTCAGAATATGAACAACCCGTGCTGCATACACCATTTTATTTGTGTTTTCGCCAGGTATTGTGTAACACTTGACATTATCATCAAAAGATAAAGAATCATTGCATCAGAATGCACCATTGGATGTGATCTATGAACTCCCTTCAGATATTCTGTTATCATTTTACAGAATCACAATTCTTTAAATTGCTTTTTATGTAATATCCTATAACATTGAATGACAATATTTGTATTCCCTCCGATGATTAAAAGATTTATTTCTAACAAGCACCGTATGAATTGGAAAGCAAATATTTTCTTTCTGCAGACTCAGCCAATTTGAATTTGATTAACTTCATTTGGCGAATCAATGCCCACATATGTGCAAAGAATATATGGATTTCTATTGCTTCTTGATTGTTCTTCCTTGGATGTCAAACAAACAAAGCTGAATTGAACTGTACAACTTTCCTTTCTATGAGCCAAGTGGTCCTAAACCTGAATAACCAAATTTCAACACTATCATTCATAAAAGGCAAATACAATGTACCAGAGCAGTTAAACATAATGAAATGAGTGAAATGGCTTTATGACATAGAAGGGTTTCATTACCTGAGGTAACCATGGGCTTTCTTCGTGGTATGGGCTTTCTTTGTGGCATGGGCTCTAAGTCCTTGCGGTCAACTACAACAGCATTAGATGTAAGAAAGGCCTTGGCCACTGAAGCTGCATGTTCTACACAACATCTAACTACCTGCAGCAATTTTCAAGCAAATTCTTAATGCACCACTGCAAAATCAACATGTGCTCCTCCATAGTATTTTACCTACTCACATCCCTGTCTTCATTCCTTCTTTTTTTATTTCATTAAAGCAACACTACTACAACCATCAAGACATCAACTTAAAAGGACAAAACAAATATTATAGATGAACACTTGAGCTACTAATTTAGTGATTAATTGCTAAATTGAGGATCCTAAAATCTATGGCTTGAATAAATCAACACTCAACCGGATCAGATATTTGGATATTTTGTTGTATGATATCAGTAAGTACTTTAAATGAATAACTTGTTTGAGAAAATTTACTAAGTATTTTCCCTGATTTTTTTTATTTGAAAGGTATTCAAATGGTCATACCTTTGTTGGATCCATGATCCCAGCCTTCATTAGATCCTCATAACAGTCTCTGGCAGCATTGTAACCAAAATTTATATTATCATCTGATAAAACCTGCAAGATATAAGGAGCGTCAGCCTTGAGTTTAATTCAATATATGTTATTGAATTGAATTTACTACATACTGTAGACGATCCAAATATCTCATTGGCAATCAATCTCTTACAGAAAACAGTTTGTCTACATGCCCAGGACCTTATCTATGACGACATTGCCATTTACACCAGCATTTTTGGCTATCATTCTCGTAGGATAGCTCAAAGCTCTTTTGAAGATTTCAGCACCAATCTACATATAATATTACTGATAAGATTTCCACACTTAAACAGTCACAAAATGGCATAGCACAAAACGAATACTTTAGATGGATTGTTAAAACAAGAGCTTATGATATAGATAATTACCTTCTGTTCTTCATTGTCCAGGAGATTTTTTATGCCATCGACCTTTTTGGATAGTCTTAAAAGGGTGCAGCCTCCACCAACTACTACACCTTCCTCGATTGCTGCCTGCCATATTCTAAGTTAGAAGCTTAGTTATTTAAATGATAGCAGATCAACTCAATAGAGCCAAGAAAAAAATCGAAATACCTTGGTTGCATTTAGAGCATCTTCTATTCTTAACTGTTTATCCTTCAACTCTACTTGTGTTTGTGCTCCTACCTACGATTTAGATTTCAGGTACTGAAATGTTAATGAACTATCTTAAATTGAAACAAAATTCTTAATTTCTATATTATCACTAGACAAAATAACATGATATTCATATTACCTGAAGAATGGCAATTCCTCTTGATAATCTTGCTATCCTTTCATTCAGTATCTTCTTCTGGAAATTTTCTACAGTATTCTGCAAAATATAAAATATGTAGGTAATCCGGGATACGTTACCCACCCATCATGTTACTGTTAAAATTTAACACTGGTTAAGTGTGAGATGTGATGATTTTCAAAGTTATGAACCTCAACAAGCCTCTTAAGTTGATAAACCCTTTTCTCTACGGCTGCTCGAGTATTCCCATCCGTAACTATTAATGTAGAATTCTTTGTTATGGCAACCTTAGTAGCAGAACCCAGCACATCCTTGTTAGCCTTTTCTAGGGTGAAACCCATATCTTCTCTGACTACGGTCCCTGAAAAACATGTGAAGAACCAAAAGTGAAAGGGTTAAAGATTATTAGACAACAAATTAAAACTTGAAGACAAATGGGAATTAGTTCTTCAAATATTTGTCTTTCTTTTTCAAGTTGTTTACAACTAATTTTCATGCATAGTTATTATAGGTATAACCTAATTTGAAATAAAACTGACATTTCAGTTAGCCATAAAATAAAGATGTAAGTCATTGAAACGCATATTTTGAGCAACTGTAGCCCTTTACTTCATTTAGAAGTTTTTCTTTGAATTGTTGTGTTTGGATACACCACTTATCTAAGGGCTTATACAAAATGATGACTTATATTTAATGATGAAACTTATTGCAATAAGCTGAACACAACTTATGAAATAAACTGTTTATAAGCTCTTCTAAATAGATCTTAAATATATCAGTAAACAATATAGTTTAGCTTCTAAAGTTGAGTGCTTGATCTTCTACCTCCAGTCAAGATGGCAATATCTTCCAAGTAGTTGGTCTTGCGTTCCCCAAAGGCAGGAGCCTTAATAGCAGCTACCTTAAGCACGCCCCTGAGTTTGTTTTTAATGACTGGAGCCAAGGCTTCTTGTTCAATCCCCTCTGCTACTATCACTATTGGATACTTCTCTTTCACAGCATTGTTCAGTATGTTAAACAACTCCTTTGGGTTTGTTATTTTTTTGTCGACCAAGAGTAACTGCAACCAAGGAATCATGCACCATCTAGTTATTTTGTAGGACTGTAGTTAAGCTTTTATATAGATTATACGTTTTGGTAAACAGCCTAATCAAGTGTTTAGCTTATAAGCTTATCACATTAGAGATGATATCATAAACTCTACCATGAAGCTTACTGAAACAATCGAATAAGAGTTTATAGGAAGATCATAAGTCAATTTTATAAACTCAAATGAGTTCTATATAAGCTCTTGTAAATCCCACTAATTGTGATACCTTGCAGTTGTGGAGTTCAACTGTCATCTTTCTTCGATCAGTAACAAAGTATGGGGACAGATATCCACGATCAAATTGCATTCCTTCTACAATCTCCAGAGTATTCTCAGTACACTTTCCACTTTCAATTGTAACTACTCCCCTCCTGCCTACTTTATGCAGAGCCTCAGAAATCATGTTTCCAACTACATAATCATTCCCAGCACTGACTGCAGCAACATCTGCGAGTTCATGATCCCCAACCTACAAGTGCAACAAATGTGTTTGAATTCAGCTAGACTTTCTAACTACAAGCAACAGTTGTCAGGCAGCAGAAATCATAATTAAATCAACATCTGCAGCCATAATTCTGATTATGTTTCTTAAAATTTTCATTCATCCAAATGTTTTAAACAAACTTTAAAAAATGAGGCTAAATTATACTTTTTGTCCTCTAAGTTATAATGAAGTTTCAATTTGATCGTCTAACTTTATTTTTATTCATTGTAGTCTTCTAAATTTTTAATTTAAGTTTTTTTTCGGTTCTTTAAATTTTTTTTAATTCAATTTAGTCCTCTAAATCGTTTAATTTTTCCTTTAACTTTACATCATCTTTCAATTTTTATTGATTCAGAGGGTGTTTCGGTATTTAATGTAGATACATCAGATTCATAATGAATATGATTAACAATGAAAATCATAGATGTATCAGCCTACTTCTCTAGACATCAAACTGAGTTCAGAAACAAGGGCGGTTGATGTCTTCTCAATCCCACGAGCAATTTGAACAGGATTCATTCCAGCAGCAATAACCTACAAATGACAAAGAAAAGATTTAACGACACAGATTTAAGTACACCTTTTTCAATGTCATTTGCATGATGCCTAAAGCATAAACCGAAAGGTTTTTAACTTGTTCCAATCTTCATTATTGAAGTTCGTTTTTTTTTTCAATGTAGTTATATGTGTCAAATTTTCATTTAAACCTTGACACATGCTAACATCTAATCATTTTATTCTGGATACTCATGTTAGGCTTGTCATTTGTACCTTTGTCCCCTCTGTGATTAAGCCATGAGCAAGAACAACAGATGTAGTTGAGCCATCACCAGCTTGGTCATTGGTTTTTGCACCGGCTTGTCTTACCAATTTAACCCCAACATTCTCCAACGGGTCTTCCAATTCTATCTGAAATTACATTAGAAAAAGATTAAAAAAAAAAATGTCAATGTTGTTATTAGACCTGATTGTAGAGAAGTTATTAAACCACCCAAGAGACAGGACAAGTCTTTAAATATTGAAAATTCACCTCCAAAATTGAAAAAAAAAAAAAAAAAAGGTAGATGCAAAATTGCCACTTATCCATCCCCACTAAAAACCCCTTAGAACTAATAACATATAGCACATAATACAAAAAAAATATCAACAAGAGAAGAAGCAAATGCTTGATGATGAAAAAAGACCTCTTTGAGAACAGTTTCTCCATCATTTACAATCTTGGGTGGCCCATACTTGTTGTGCAGCACAACATTTCTCCCCTTTGGACCCAATGTAACACCAAGCAGCTCTGCCACCATATCCACCCCTGCCTGCACTATCAACTCACTTACATCTTTTGAAGAACCAAAACAAACTGTTAGATAGTGTCCAGAACCATAATAACCCTTACCAGAAGCTTCTTTGTTGTTGAACCATCATGGTTGAAGTGAAGCTCTTTGGCCATAGCTCTCGGGTTTAGAACAAAAGAAGATGGATGATTTCGGGGTCTTGGCCGTGATGTGAATGCAGATATAGGAGAACATGCCATGGTGGATAAGACTTTGGTTTGGACAACCATTTAGTTTTAGATTTGCGTTTTGGTGCAATCAACAGGTTCAACTATACCGAGTTTAATGAAGGTTTTGTGTACAATGGACGAGGTTTTTAAGGCTTGGTGGATAAGAGTAACGGTCTAAAGGACGGAAATATCTCCGCACTCTTGTATTTGCTAAACATAATGAACGAGAAAACGAAAATATCTTACAACTACTTTTGGCGCTATGCAAACCATGTTCCACCAATACATGTTGCAAACAAATTACGCTTTTAAATTCATATTTAAATGGTTATAAATTTATATTTATATTTAATGCTATTAGTTCTAATTTTTATATTTATTTTTTTTAATATATTTTCAAACCCGTTAAGGATATTTTAATAATCTATATTTTTATTACGACAAGTTAATTATAAAATCATTCAATGCGGCAAGTAATTTTTAATTATCATAGGTATCCACTATTATACTATAGTATTTCTTAATTTTTTAAAATTATAATTATTTTATACTAAATGTTTTAATTTTTCTTCTTCTTTTTTATTATATTTATATATATAAGTAACATAAATAATCATGTACATATATTTATATTTATTTGTTTAATTCAAGGAAGTATAAAAACTCTTTCGAAGTACCTTAAATTTTACCCATGATATTTATATTTGAAGTGAAAAGTTCTTAAAATTTGAATCAAGTGACGTGAAAGGTTATAAAATAATAAGTTTTCTCATTTTCTTAACATTAAATACTAGATAAATTATGATTCTATACATTACAATAATATTGGTTAGGCTTGGGCACGAACAACTGATGGAATTAAGTTGTTTTGAAAGTGAAGAAGGAAAGAACTCTCTTAAAAATGACGGTGGATAGAGTCTTTAAGAAAATCATTGAGCCCAGAGATCGGAAAATGGAAGCAGCAATCGCAGGATTGGCTGACTTCGACTTTGACCTCGGCATGTTATCCTTAAAATTAAGGATATAGATCCAGTTCAAAGATATAGATACAATTCAGTTAACATAAGACGTCCAGTTTTATTTTTACTTGAGCTAAAATAAAGTTATTTAAGTAAAAATACAGAAAATAAAAAAAAATTATACAAAATTAGCTCAAGCGAATTTTACAAATTTGTATAAACGAATTATTTTGACTCAAATGAAATTTGTATATTTAAGAAGATGAAAGCTAGGTATAGGAGAAAAAAAGAATTTAGGATAGATGGAGATAAAGAGAGCTACGGTATAGAAGTGGTGGTGGAGGGAGAGGAGGGTGGAGAGTTAAGTGTAGAACAAAGAAGGAGATATAACTATGAGGTGGGGTGGTGAAAGTGAGAAAAAGAAGAGAAAAGTTGGACATGGAGGGAAGAGATGAGGGAGTTGGGAGAGGAACAAAGAATTTTGATATGAGAGAAAAAAAGAACGTTGATTATGGAAGTTGGGAAGAGAGTACTAGGCATACGGAGAAGGAAAAGAGAAAATTGAGAGAAAAAAGACGTAAAATTTATTTAAGCTAAAATAATTCGTTTAAGCCAATCTGTAAAATTTGCTTAAACTAAAAAAATTAGCTTGAGTTAAATTTGCATTAAAAAAATTGTATCATTTTCTGCATTTTTGATTAAGCAAAAATGAAATTGTAATGTACAATTTTCGCATTAACTCAACCGGATCCAAATTCCAAAATTAATTGCAACAAATTTTGTTATCTTTCCGGTACAGATGTTGGCAAGCACTTTTTCTTTTTGTACACATTTTTAATTGTAAAAAGAAAATTAAATTAAAATTAATAAACAAAATTTATTTTACTTTTTTTATAAAAATTTAAAAATATTTTGATTTTTAATTTTTAAACATTATATTTTAAAATGATTTTAAAAAAATATTTTTAAGAAAAAATATAAAAATAAAACTTATGTTAATAAATAAATATTATTTTTTACTTAAAAAAAAAGTTTTAAAATGTTCAAGTATTTGTTAGTTGTTGTTTTACTATTCTATTCATATTTTTATTTATATATGTTATTAATGTATAATGAATAAAGTAATGTTTCAAACTCAACTTCTTATGTAATATTTATGCATTGATCTTTAAGCCATGTAGTTCATCTATTTTTTATGCTCTTATTTTTTCTGTCTTTATAAACTAAAAAATATTTTTTTTTATTTGGATAAACTTTTCGAAGAATTTTTATATGAGAAAAAATTAATATAAAAAATTAAAAAAAAATTATAAGTTAAAAACAACACATACTTCTTTATTTTTTTAGAAGTTTCAAAAAATACTGTCATATAATTTTTCTATAATTTTAAAAGATAAGTTATTTTTAACTTATGAGAAAAAATTTATTTATTTTTATATTAATTTTTTTCTTTTATAAGGACTTATTAACAACTTCATTCAACCAAAGCCTTCGTAGAATTTAACACGTCAACTCAATTTTCCTATTAAACTTAACTCACCTAACTATACTACTTGACAAACAAATTTAATTTTTAATAATTGCTTACAGATACATCTCAAGCACAATCTCATGCACACCCTCAACTATCAACAATGGTCATTTTATCTCTCTAAAATTCATGAAGTGACGTTTGGCGCTCATTACAACGAGCCTTCCTTAGTTGTAATCACTTTTATGTCACTCAAAGAACGCCTCAACACCATGACAAACGGGTCACTATTTGTAGCCTTCTATCTACAATTCGTTCACTCAATTGCTGATGAACTTACCTTAATCGATCATCCCTTAGATGATATTGACCTTGTGATTCATGCTCTCAATGGGTTGGGTCCCTCATCCTGCAAGTTCACAGCCCCTATTCACACGTGTGATACTCCTATCCATTTTAATGAACTTTATGATAAGCTCATATATAGGCTTTGAAATGTTTCTTCAAAGAGAATATCATACTCTAATGACTCGAGTGACTGCCAATTATATGAATCATTGCCACACAATTGATTAGGGGTGCCAAGGACAATCGATGTGTGACAACTTTAGGAACTCCAATAAACTTTTCACTAGCAATCACTTCAATATAGTGTGCCAACTTTGCAGCTAAAAGAGTCACAATGCCTAAACCTACTTCAAGTTCTTCAAGAATGCTCGAAGATTCTCAGTTGCTCCTACTGCACATGTCATTCAAACAAATGTCCCTCCTCCTCTCCTAAATGATTGTTTTACTCGGCATCTCACCATATTCCAATGACCTAAACAATCTCTCTCTTAAAACTAACTATGGTGGCTCCAAATGTTGCATGGATACGGGTATGATATTGGTACTAAGTACTTCATATAAAATTAAAAACAAATTTAAACATATTTATTGCTTGTAATTGCTAGAGATGGTTGCCAAACTCACCACCACTGTTGCCTATTGTTGCCACTCATCATTTGCCACTCGCCGATGAGGGTTGATGGTTGAAGTTTGAGATGGGAGGAGAAAAGCAACAGCCAGCTCATGGGTATGTGGAGGCTGAAGGGAGTACATGTATGTGAAGGTTAGAGAAGAAAAAGAGGCAATCGAGTCAGATTTTTGGACCCAAAACCCCAAAAGTTTGGTAAAAAAAATTTCACTTTTCGGACTTGAGCCATACTCACGTACTCACTTTGCAAGTTTTTTTTTTTTTTTGGGTATGTACCTTTACTACCCGTACCCAGTATGTACCCGGTACTGGTACTCCATGGAAGTGGGTCCGTACTTTAGAGGGTGGCGCATCAAATTCATGTTGCAAACAATATCTCTACTAATCATTCATATGAGCTCCACTTCTATTTCCTCCTCATGCTTATATAATGTTTTGTGTATTCCTAAAGTCACACAAAACTTGTTCTCAGTCTCACAGATATGCAAAACTAATAAGGTGTCAATTGAATTCTTTCCTTGGCATTTTGAGGTGAAGGATCTACACATGGGGATGCTCTTACTGTGTGAAACAAATGAAGATAATGTGTACAAGAAGTCCACAAAGTCTCCTCATGTGCTCTCAATTCAGTCTCAATCTTCCTTCTATCTATAGCACAATAGACTTGGTCATCTAACTCCTCGTGTCCTTCTTGATGCTCTTAAAACAGACAATATTCAACTACCAAAATCCTCTAACAAATGTCAACATTATCTTGCTAATAAGAGTCGCACAATTCCATTCACTAAATCTTTCATTGTTCAGTTCTGGTCCATTACCAATTGTGCACTTAAATGTTTGGGGCCTTTCTCCCTTTAATTCCATTATATGATTTTTGCTATTATATTATCTTTATAGATCATTACTCAAAATATGTTTGGCTATTTCGAATGAAATTCAGATTTGATGTTTCACTCATCTTTCCAATATTTAAGAACTTGGTTAAGAATCAACTTCATTGCAAAATAAAAACCCTTTATTCTGGCAACAGTGGTGCGTTTCTCAAACTGAAGTCATTTATACAATCTAATGGAATCTCTCACCTCCTAACATCACCTTATACGCCTGAACATAATGGTCTTTCTAAGCATAAACATCGCTGCTTACTCGAAATAGCAAGGTGCCTCATTCATCAAGTATCTCTTCCACCAATATATGGAGCTTTACTCTTCAAACATTAACCTAGTTGATACAAAGGCTCCCTATCTGCTAGTCTCGATATGAAAATATCATTCTTTATTTTGTTCAAAATAAAAACTACACCAAATTAGAAACTTTTATTTTTCCCTTCTCTTCTTCATCTACTTCATTACCTACTAAACTCACCTCATCCATTCCCCCAAATTTATCTTTTCATTCTCATCCACTAACAATCAAACACTCCATCTCACCCATTTCTATTATTCCTATGTCAATGTCCAATTCCCCTTTCAGTCCCCCAATTGAAACCAGACTACACATGACAACTTGCCCACGTTATCTACCATTCCGTCTTTAGTAGCAACATTCCCACCATGTGTAGAACCTATTCAACATCCAACTCACCTAATGGTTACATGCTAAGAAAATGGTATTTTCAAGACCAAAAAATGTTTGTTTGTTGTCACCAAACATCTTAATGGAGCCCATTTGTGTTACCTAAGCCATGAAAAGTCTTGCATGCAATGTAGCTATGTCTCAAGAATTCACTGCACTCTTGCAAAATGGAACTTGGAAGTTATTTCCTCCTCAACCCCACTACAAAGACAATAAATGAATTTTTCAATGGAAGATAGCTTATTGCTTGCCATAAAGCTTACTTGTTGTCGAATGCTTCCACCAATGACCTAGCTTG